TCTTTATCTTAAATGTGCTTTAAATAAAACTTTATCACCCTCTATATTCTGCAGGACTAGCTCATAAAAATTACTGTGACTGTGCAATTATATTGTGTTATCTTTAAAATCTTACATAGTTGCTTAACATTAGACATTGCACTCATAGAAATCAATGGTGGTTCTCCCATTGATTTCAGTGGATGCAGGTTCAAGCACTTTGTGCTGTACAGTACTTGACAGTATCATTACAATGTATGACTTTCTCCTTAGATTTTTTTAGGTGTATTGAGAGTGGTGTCAAATGCCTGATTTAAAAAAAAGAAAATTATCTAAGCAATATTGTTATAAGGAGAAGGCAGAAATTAATGGATAGTAGAAATGTGCACAGAAATCAAATGTGGGGGATAGTAAAAGTCTCTGAATAGGTTGTAGTTTGTTATTTGACTGCAGTTTATATGTGTTTGAAACATAATGTTCGTCATACAGAACTGACACTCTCCACCTTTACCTTTAATTGACTATCATTGAAGCATGAAAAGTGGCTAATTCACCTAGTTTATTTCTAAAATAAAAGTAATATGTGTATTATCTCAATGCACAAATATTTATGTGCACAAGAACATATTTCAGTGTGTAGCTGCTTTTTAAACCACTAATTATATAAAGTATTTCTTTCTCAATATTACACTTTTAACTCGTGCTTATAAAAACTAAATTAAGAGAAAACCACCCACTTTTCCTATATATTCAAATGATAAAGTGAATATTAATTAAAAAATCTGCCTTTTAGTATAGGAGATGCTTATTTTGAATGTAAAAATAGTCCTATTTGTTCTTGACTATATAATGAATATGTAGTGTAGCACCATATCTTCATTATGTAATCAATGTTTAATTATTGCTTAATTCTTCCAAATACATTACAGTGTAAATCACTATTTTTTGTTGTATTGGGACACAAATTCCTGCACATTGAGATTAAAAAAATGGGATCCTTTGACTACAACAATATAAAGGCTGTACTGTAGAATTCTTAACTTTTATTATGAGCTTGGTTTTGTAGTTGCTCAAATCCTTTCTCTTTGATGTGTAGAAATATTTTTCAGTGACACCCACTGAACACTAGAAACTCTCTCAATATGTGGAAGTATTTATTTTTATGCTTGTGCAATTCTAGACCTTTTTTTCACAAAAGCTTTCACCTTAGGGGCACTGTCATGTGGGTTGGAAATGGGATGATAGAATATAAGCAAAGACTACAATAACTATAAACATCAATCTTCTGTGTGTGGGGAATGTGTTAAGTATGTTAATAAAAGTATATGGCATTGGGCATCTTATTTAGCATCTTAATTATGTGAAAGTAATAGCGTGTTAAAGAAATAAACAAATAATGCTGAACTGGAAGGAGTTGCAGCCACCCATGATAACTCACAAATAATACAAAGGAAGCTGCACTAGAGAGAAAATAAAAGAGGGTCTCCTTACAGAAATGAAAATTGTGTGAAGATAATCTTTCACAGAAATATTCACTGAGAATGAGAAATGTGGAAAGCAGTAATCTTGGAAGAGAGCAAGGTATAGAATGAACAAATGATTAAATTATTAGGAGGTATGTGGTAGCTTCAAATGATGTTGATGAGTGTATTAGTAATGCCTAGGTAGATAGATTGCTTTAGTTTACACTGATTTGTAATGATCCCATGACACATGTCTGCACTACCACCAGTGATTTCCTTAACACAAGGGAAGTCCTCAGATGCTCAGGCATCTTTACAGCATCTCTGTATGTCACAGTCGTGCATGAGAACATGTGGGCTCAGGGTATGGTACTTTGCATTTAGACTAATTAGCAATCTGATGTTGAAATGGAAACTGAAATATGCAATAGGTCAGAAATTGAGATATCATTTTGCTTTGAACATTTTGACTTTTATATAGAATATTTATTTTCTCACTAATATCTTGTATTCTTGATCTGCATCATACAGCACAATCCATTTTTATGACCTTTGGATTTCTGCTACAGAATTCACTAGTTGCAGTGCTGGTTTTTTTTTAAATCAATATAGCTACAATTTTTTTCTCCAATCCAATCCCTGATGCAGATCATTCATTCCAAACATGGAATTACTATTGATATTACTGGGAGTTATTTATGTTATAGAAGTGCAAATATTATCATCATTTCTATAGTGACAAATATGCTTTGTGCCTTAAGGCAAATGAAAAGGCTTTGTCGTCTTGAATTGAAGAACTTACCCTGATTTTTCCAACCTTACTAATAGTGAATAGTGACTTAATCCATGAACAGTTCCAGTGACATTAACATATTACTCTGAGTAACAGTAGCAGAATCAGGGCCAAGAGAAGACCCCATACAGACAAGGGATGGGAAAGGGAGTTAACCAAAACTCAGGTGAATTATCTAATTTATATTTGTCAGATCTCGTAGTACAAAATAAATCCAAAATATAAATATAAAGAGTTTGGAATACATAATGTAGTCATTTACTCTGTAAAATGAGATTGCAGACATCCATTTAATCATAATAGACTCAGCTAAAATAATTTTGTAGTGAAAAGTCTGGATTGGGCATGGTAGGAAAAGGAAAAAGTTTCCAGATATGGAGGATAACAAATGTTCATTGTCAGCAAAGTCAACAACAACTTGATTATGTAGAAGGGTCTATAAGTAAGTCATTAGGCAATAAAATGGCAAATGAAATTTAATGTTGATAAATGTAAAGTAATGCACATTGGAAAAATAATCCCAACTCTTCATACAATATGATGGGGACTAATTTAGCTATAACTACTCAAGAGATCTTGGAGTCATTGTGGATAGTTCTCTGAAAACATCCACTCAATGTTCAGTGGCAGTCAAAAAACAAACAAACATAACGTTAGGAATAATAAAAAAAGGGATAGAGAATAAGACAGAATTTCCTTCATATGAAACCATGGTATGCCCACTTCTTGAATACCATGTACTAATGTGGTAACCTCATCTCAAAAAAGATATATTGGCATTGGAAAAGGTTCAGAAAAGGGCAACAAAAGTGATTAGGGGTTTGGAATGGGTCCCATCTGAAAGAGATTAAAAAGATTGGGATTTTTCATTTTAGAAAAGAGGAGAGTAAGGGGTGACATAACAGAGATCTATAAAATCATGATTGGTGTAGAAAAAGTGAATAAAGAAAAGTTATTTACTTGTTCTTATAGCATAAAAACTAAGGGGTCACCAAATGAAATTAATAGATAGCAAGTTTAAAACAAACAAAAGGACATTTTTTTCATGCAGCGCACAGTCAACCTGAGGAACTCCTCACCAGAGGATGTTGTGAAGACCAGGACTTTAACAGGGTTCAAAAAAGAACTAGATAAATTTGTGGAAGTTCGGTCCATCAATGGCTATTAGCCAGGATGGGTAGGAATGCTGTCCATAGGTTCTGTTTGTCAGAGACTGGAAATGGATGACTAGAGAGAGATCACATGATGATTACCTGTTCTGTTCACTTCCTCTGGGGTATCTGGCATTCGGGGCGGCCCGTGCGTATAGGCCGACTCAACCGTCGCCTAGGGCACCGCATTAAACGGGGCGCCCAATGAGATGATGTCATGCCATTGAGGGCTGTGGAGGCGGGGGCACCAATTGCGCATTCTACCTGGGACGCGGGGGCGCCGATCACACATTCCGCCTGGGGCGCCAGCTTCCAGAATCCCGCCTCGGGCCGCCCCTGCTGGCATTGGCCACTGTTGGGAAGATAGGATACTGGGCTAGGGGGACCTTTGTTTTGACTCAGTATGGCTGTTCTTATGTTCTTAAGTACATTGATGAAACACACGTCTGAAATGCCTGTTGGTTTCCAAAATACAAACTATTCCGTTGTCCCAATAAAACAAACTGTAAGACAGATTTTAATGCCATTACTAATATTGAGCTGCATTTTACTCTATAAATTGTGCTGCTGTTTTAAATGGGACTGCCTGAAGAGGAAATTATAGCTCTGTATGAATAACAATTTGGTAGTATTGCTCCAAAGATTTAAAACTATATCTGAATTAATAAAAGAACAGGTCCAAACATGTAGCAATACTTTCATTAATAACATCTTAAATTAGTTTTTAGTGTGAAGGTGTGGTGTTATTTTATTAATTACAAAGTTTGATAAGATGGGTGTGAGCAGGAAAAATGCAAAATATTTCATTTTGTAGGATATAAATTAGTAGAGGGACAGACAAGTCATCCATCTTAGAAATTTGCTGCAGTACTACAAAGGAAAAAAGCCAGTTTAACAATTTAAAAGCACTTTTCTAAGTTTCTCCAGAAGCGAACTCCATTCCCTTTTCTAATATGGCCTGATATGTTGCTTGCTTTCATTTTGTACTGAAAAGTGCCAGAGGGAGCAAAGTAGTCTATTTTCCAATATGGTATCACAAAGCTAGCCAGGAGAGCACGAGCTAAACCCCATATTCTCATGTTTTAGGCAAGAAGATCTTCAGCATCTGTAAGAAAACTGAGAAGTCCTGAAAATCATCCATAGGGGGAACAACAGAATTTTGGGCACTGTTTTTAAGCATTCTTAAGCATTAGCAGCACATAGGAGAAAGAAATCCATATAAGTAGGGAGGGAGGTGGCAAAGAAATCATATGAGCAAAGAGGGGATTTTGCATAGCAGAAGGGATGGTGGGACAACATTCACAGAAAAAAAATCAAGATCAGAGAGGACAAAAGATCATTATGAGTGGATTATAAAAGTCCATATTGATGTTTTTCCTCCATGTATTGACTTATTTAAATATGCTTGGTCCATTTGTATATTTTCTTAATGAGTTTCATAAAGACTTTTACTTGAAAAAAGTTCTGAATTGTGTTGTACTCATTAACTTTATGATCATGTGAGGAGTTTTAGCCAATCATAGTCAAGCATTTTAAAAAACCATTCCGTGTAGCAGTTGTGCAAGGGTTTATCAGCCATTCATTAAACTGCTGCATTTTGTAATCCTTTGTTAGGTAACCTTGGCCGTGTGGACCACATCACAGAGTTTGAGTATGACTTGTTCATTAGGCCCGATACCTGTAACCCACGCTTTCGAGTTTGGTTCAACTTCACTGTTGAAAATGTGAAAGAGTCACAGGTAAGTTTCTGTTAAATAGTATGATTCATTCATAATTACTTTATTGGAGAATAAAAGGTGTGTTCTTATTAAAAATTAAAATGAAAATATCCTACCAGTTGAAGAAGTGGCTTAAAATAAATTCAGGAGCCTGGGCAAGAGTAGTGGACAGACTATAAAAGAGAAGAATCCTTCTTTTTGAAGCCAGGAAGCCTTGGAGGGGACAAGCTAGTGGGTCAGTCCCCCCGGCAGTACCTTCTCCAATCACCACCCACTTTGAGAAACAACCTGTCTTGGAGGGTCTTGCCCATTTGGACTTTGCTTGTGATGCTGTTGACTACTTAGGTAGGGCCCTACCAAATTCACAGTCCATTTTGCATTTCATTATGTTTATATCTTGAAATTTCACAATGTTGTAACCATAGGAGTCCCAACCCAAAAGGATATCACATGGGGCACAAAGCTATTGTAAGGGAGTTACAGAATTGCCACTGTTACTTCTGTGTCGCCTTCCTGCAGCTCTGAGAAGTTTCCAGCTGTGGAGAGGGCTCTGATCTCCCCTATGCTGCAGGGAGCAACCGAGCCAAAGGCTCCTAGCTGCTAGTCCCAGCTGCATTGAGAAGGACAGGACTACTTCTTCCCCTGCATTCTGCTCTCGGGAAGCGGAAGGGAGAGGAGAAGATCAGACCCACCTCTGGGTACCTCCCCTGGATTAAAAAACACTCACATTTCTGCAGTGCAGCTGCAGAGCTTCCTGTGCCCAGGGGAAGTACTCAGAGTTGAGTCTGATTTCTGCTATGCCTTAGTCAACTATAATCAAATTATAGTCATGAAATGAATGAGAATCTGTCTCAAGGAGGCAAAGAGATCTGGTGGAAAGATAGAATATATATCTAGAGCTTACAGGATATTTGTTTTCACAGATGTCTACATGAAAGAGAATGGTTTCACTATTAAGTTTGACTTGTGAGGTCTGTTTTTATAATGTGCCATCCTATAATCTTTTTTTCATCTCTCCAATTTCCGTTAAAATGAAACCTGTATGAATGTAATCTAGTCTGCAACCTTATTTAGGGCTCCGGACTAGGGGGCATAAGCAGTATTAGTCTTTGCAGCTCAGCTATATTAAATGAATATTTAAAAATTGATATATCAAACATACTATATAACCTGCTTTGTGCTTTATGATTATTTTCTTTTGTTTTATTAGGAAATGAGAAAAGCAAAGAACACAAGGTTCAGTGTAGCATACAATACACAAACAAATTTTTTAGAACAGTATATTTGTAGAGGTCTATGGCAAGTAAGAATCCCAATATTTCTGTATTAAAGTATTTCTTAGTTTAGTTACTAGGATTAAATATTCTTATGTGACTTACATTTATTACTGATTCAGTATAGAGGTGAGAGAAAACAGCATAATCTACCCATTTAAATATTGTTGATCAGGCTTCGGCCTGTTAGGCAACAAATCTGATGAAGTGTCTAGATCATTTAAGGTTGGTCTTCTTTATTTTAAGGTTCTTTAAATTCCTGATTTGAATCACTTAGTTTACTTGGACTTGACAGTCTGTTCACTAGACATTATTTTTTCTGGCCCTTTGTTTGCTTGTTATTAAAATCTCTTCAGACTTGTCTGATATCATGTACTGGGTGAAGTTCCTGTTCACAGAGAAATTAATTGCATTTCCCCCATCATGAGAAAACAAGACACAATCTTTCATTATCTGACTATTTCTCACAATTCATCAATCCTGTTTTTCTCCTGTTGTACCAAACTACTGCTTATTGACACACAAGAGGGACAAGTGATTACAAAAGGTAAAACAATTTGAAAGAGAGTTAAATTAATAAAATTCCATGGCACAAAGACAATAGCCCCAACAGCATTAGGAACTTTTGTTGGTGGTATACACTTTGTTTAGTTTTTCTGTTCTAGCATCAGACAGTAATTTAGTATTAACAGTATACTGCTTATAAACAACCAGGCTCTCTCCCCTACATTTGTAACACTGAGGATGGTGAATGGAATCATACAAGTAAGAGATGGAAAAGAGAGACCTATTGGGTTATCAGGCCATCTCATTGCCAATGTAAGATTGTTCCCTGGAATACATTTTCTGTTTCTTGTACAATCCCATTTTAAATGTCTAAAGAAATGGGGCTTCCACCATTAATGTCTAAAGACATTCCATAGCTTCTGATCTATCCAACAGTTGTTGTTTCCTGATATTCAACCTAAATACATCTTTGCTTAACTTAATTCCATAATTCTTAGCTATAATTTTATAATAAAAAATAATTTATAATTTTTATAATAATTCATCTTGGTAGAAATATTTTCTCTTTATCCTTGCTGTTTGCATTCAGATTTTTGTAGATTAACAACATTCCTAATTGTGTCTCAATGTACATATACATGTTTAGTTATTTTTAGGCCCCTACCTAACAAAACACTTGAGTTATGTGTTTAATTATTTTTCTATATTCGGGCCTCTGCTTTTCTACATTAGTGAATCATACCAGCTCTCAGATTTTTTTACCCGTCTTCTTTATAACTTCCTCAAAATATTGCTTCTAATGTAGAATCTAAAACTGAATGGAGTATTCCAAGTATGCTGATACTCCTACTATCTAGAGAAAGAATTATAGACTCTCTGCTCCTTGATGTCTCAGAATATACAGTCCAAAAATGGCCCTCTTTTTCTGCTACATCACTATGGAAACTTATGGCTAATTTGCTGTGGACCATCATACATAGATCTCTTTCAAAACTATTGTTTCCTTCTTCACATTGCGTATATGTTTTGTGATTGTCATGTGACAGAGGTAATTCCTCCTAGCCCTGGGAAAAGAAAATTGAACACAGATCTCTTTCATGGCAGTCAAAGCAGTAGCACTGATTATTCTTGTTATGCTTTTATGATAATAATATTTTTATTGGCTTCTTAATATTTTTGTGGTTTCAAGATTGGTTTTTCTAGAAGGCTATAAAATAGGCTTTACTTTCTCCTTTCTAACTTTGATTTTATGCTGTGCTCTTGATTTAATTCTTCTTTTAACCACATGCAATGAAAAAGAATAATTACCAGGTTATATTTGTGTGCCTAAGGAACTGGTATGTAAAAAAGCAGCTAACACCTGTGTGATGTAAAATTTAACTTTTTGGTCTCCAGTGTATGGTTTCAGACTCCTAGATCAGGTGGTCCTCTATCAGTGATAAGATCTGAGCAGTGAATGTCTTTATGCATTTGCTCAATGAATTCAATTAACACCAATATTGGAAAGTACATAAAGAAACTGATATGTTATACATAAGGACTATAATCATGCAATGATTACACAGTAACAATGAAAGAGAATGAAGAAAATAGATTTGCTGAGAACACATGGTCCCATCGGCAAACCTCCAATTTTTCTATTTATATACATGTCAGAGGCTGCTTCCTATTGCTAGATAACATTCTGTATTGGGCTAAGTTTGTTTCCCATTAATTTCAGCTGTGACCTTCACAACATCATCCATAATTTTACATATTTTCCTTTGTAGAACCTGAAATTGAATCGAGTGTAACATCCAGATTATATGTTAAGTATATACTAGTATTCTATGGTACTTGTTGTTTCAGATACAGGTGTACTTCTAAGCTGGCATGCATTTAAAAGCATCAGTGGGAAATGTGTATCCACCAGAGAACTGGACCAAAGAAGAAGTTAAATTTATATTTTTTAAATTAACCAATTATTCTGTTGCATGTGAATTGGAAGGTTTTATAGCTGATAACTATTATTTGTGTTGTGGTGGCATATAGAGACTCTCATTGTGCTAGGTAATATAATGCATAATGGATCCAAGCTTGAATAGTTTACTATCTAAGGATATGATGGGAGATGACAGCTGAATACAGCAAGCAGACTGAAGGAGTACAACGTAACAGCAAGAGGGTTACAATTAGTGTAATAAATGGTGGTCACATACCCATGCAACTTACACGTCTGTATCCCCAAAATAACTGCTGCATATACTCCGAATATTTGTTCCATAATGAGAAATCCATCAAAAGCAGTATTTCCACTGGTATTAGAAAGGAGGATCAACTCATAGGTATATGCCAATGCTGTTAAATCATTCCATAAATATCCATTGTTAATGTGAGACAGTTCAAACACTTATGAAAATACCTTGTAGTTGGGCAGTCACCCCACTCCAGGACAAAAAGGGTTAAAATAGTCCTGGGAGAGAGCACTGTTGACTTTGGCCCTAGGAATGGTGCCATTGAGTTTGCTGCCAGTGGACTCCCCACCCAGGAAGAGCCAAAAAGACATGATGGTCCTGGATTTACAATGTATGCCAGACACTTTTGAGGCAGTGAGGGACCTTCTTTCCCTCACAGTGCCACCATCCCTGGCCATTTGCGAACTGTCAGAGGCAGCACTGACATTGCTGCCATTTTGGCAGTGAGGTAGGTGCCAGGGAAGGGCAAGCTGACACCGCTCTCTGGCACCGGTCAGCACTGCAGCAGTGTGGTTGCCCAGGAGTGAGTCTTCCGACTGATTTAAAGGCAGGATTCTATGCTTCGCACAGTAACAAACACTGCTCTGACTGGAGACACTGGCTTTGGACATAGCACAAGGCATATTGCTGGCAGCCTGGCTACCTGGTCAATCGCACATGCCACGGCTGGGGCCAATTTGACACTCCAGCTGATTCAGGGTTCCCATTTGAGATGTTCCTACTTGCAGAATTGGAAGTGCAAGCTCCCCGATTGTCCCCTTCAGAAATGGGATCAGTCTCTGGGACCGACCTTGGTATTGTTGCAGGACACACCTTCACTCAACCAAGCTTCAGCAGAGAAAGTACAGGGTCCAGTGCTGATATAGGTCTCATCATTTTTCTCCCCAAACAAGGCTGTGAAGTGAACTGTCATGCTGTCAACCCAGGATGATTACAGGATACACCAAAACTCTTGTGGAAGGCATACAAGCAGAAGATATCTCTGAATCCTCCTACGCCCTAGTGA